AAAAAAAATGACACAAAACGGCCACCTCGGTTTCGTCTGCCAGACCCACTGTTAGCTTTTCCCCAACCCTGAAGAATGGAAAAAATAAAAACGTCAAAAAGGAAAACAGCCTTCAACCCAAGAAAAGCAAGAAGGAAAAAATAGGTGGTGGAAGGAAAAAAGCACCGCAGAAACTTTATCAAAAAAGTGGTTGTTTGGGCTTTTTTAGCTCCTTTTGAGAAGGGTACAGGTAGAGGAAAGCAAATGGAGGACGAATAGCGAAAAAAAAAAGAAGTTTGTAAAGACAGAAAGATGCTTTTTGGGGAAAAATCGTGGCAGAGAGGTCTCCGGCGTGTCTCCGACATCTGGGCTCATGTGCGGCTGAACAAGAACACAGCTAAGGGGGGAAAAATGTTTGGCTGTTTTAGTTGGACGAAAAAAGGGACACATGATCTGCTATGGCCAAAAGATAAGAAAAATAATAATAAAAACAATGAAGCAGAAGAGACAGAGAGAGAGAGAAACAAAACAAAAAAACACGTATAGGATATGCTTCTTTGGGCTGCAGTAAGCATATCGACTCGGAAGAAAAAACAACCAAAAATGCGAGAGGCTTTCTCGAACTGAAACCAAAACCAAACCAAAGAACCGAAAAGCGCCGAGGCAAAAATGGTGAGAGATGGAACAGAATGGGATGGAGGAGGGATGATGGGAAGATGCCGGGGCGTTCGATGGATGCAGACACATGAGGGACAGGAAGAATGAAGTCAGTTGTTCATTCTGTGAACTTGAGTTGAGCACTCTTACCTCTTATTGGCGTACCACCTGGGTGGATTATATGAATGCAAATAAGATTAAGAAAGAAGAGTCGTTAGTGCGAGAAGAGAGGCTGGCCGCTTTGGAAGAAGAATCAAATTAGCTTTGCTTTGTTTTCTTACAGACTGTATTAGGCTACAACAGGAAAGAGAGATTCAGAAAAGACAGCCATTGGCTCTAGTGGAGAAAAGCACAGGATTGAGCATTGGTCACTTTAGGAGGTCAAAGAGCAACTGGCACAGTGGATGAAGCACAAGGGGCCGTTCTGAGACCTGTGGCAGTGGCCGTGATCTAGCGGGAG